TCGGGGGCGGGGAGAGGGGGCTGGCTGGAGGTGACCGGGGGGGGGCTCTGCAATAGCATGAGCCCCATTCAGAGACCCTCAGGTCACAGAGGCTGAGAGGATCTTAACCTGGCAACCAGCGTGGCCCTTGCAGGCGCCATGGGACCGTGAGGAGGAAGCGCCTCTGATAAGAGAAGCAGCCTTCATGTGTCCGGACAGAATTTCTTCCCACTTCCAACCAGCCAGCCGTATTTTCCTCCAAGTTATGATGGCCTGTAAGGAGCTCAAACTAAATATTTTTATTTCCAACGACCTGCTTAACTTTCTCTGATTCCTGTTGTCCCGTGATGAGGTTCAGGCTCTTGTATCCTCTTTCAAGGAAAGGAGGAGGGAAGGACACCCCTCCTCTAGTTGTCGCTTTTTGATGGAAGTTTTTATTTTGGGGGGTGTTTGTGTGGGTGAGCTGTTTCTTTCTTCACATTAGAGCACTGCACCATTTAAAATTAGAGACATATATGTAAAACAGGTATAATTAAAACAAATTAAAATGTTAAGATAATTAGACTATTTTGAGAGAATGGGGGAAAGAATAAAAATGCTGTTGGGCATCGAAGGAAGCTGTGTGTGTACAATCATTTGAGAAAGAGAAGAGGTCAAGCCAGGGAGAAGACTCGGGGTCAAACCCGAGAAGACAGACTTCTTCTCCTTTGCGAAATGTCATCCTCCCGCACTGCTCCGCTCAGGGATGCTTCTCTCCTCCGAGCCCTTTTCACCTGTGAGGAGTTCAAGGGAAGCACAGGGTTGAGGATTGACTTCCCTGCACCCGTACCTTTTACGAAGTGAAATAGCACTGCCACTAACCCCCCACACACACACACACACACAGTCTTTCTCACTTCAGATCCTGGCAGTTTGGCAAAGTGGTTTCAAACAGCAGAAAAAGTACCTCGATTTCCTCTGGACACAAAAATCCACCCAAATCCTGGGTAGGATTTTATGTATGTTATTAAAAAGAAAAAGTAAAAGAATTAGAAAAAAGATGCAGGGAGGAACATGTTGGTAGGATTGAACGCAGCAGCCTTCAAGAGCATTGTGACATGGCCCGAAATTTACACATAGTCGTGTGCGATGCCACTGGCCTGGGGAGACAGGTCAAGCCCAGATGCAGGCACTCAAGAGGGCAAAGCCGCCCATTGGTGGGCTACTTCTCCTGCAGCCTGAAAGACAGAAAGGTCGACCGGCCCCTCCCGACAGGGTCACAGGGCACCTGCCTCCCAGTCCCCCAGCGCTCCTCCAGGCCACCCACCCCCTCTCTGTTGCTGGAAGTCCACCGGCTGCTTTAGCCAAGTCTCTCTCTCTCTCTCTTGTTTTGAGGTAGGAGACCTGAGTCCTCCTAATGGACCTGCCAACCCAGTAGAACTCCACCTGTACACCATGGTGTCCTACCTGGTGAAGCAGAAGGCCGCTTTGGAGGACATGACATCCCTCCTCGCTCATTCTGCCCAGAGGAAGAGAGAGGTGGGCATCAGCAGGTGGAGGTGCTCAAACCCTTCCAAGAGATATCTTGGGCGAGCCTGAGGCAGGACATCCCCCCAATTCATGCCCTCAATCAGGCCCCTTGGAGTCTGCTGAAGGGCACAAAAAGAAGGGCCCCCTCAGTGGATCATCTCAGCAAGCCTCAGGGGCTATGGAAGTGATTTTAAAAGGAAAGAGGGCAAGTGAAGGGCCTCTTCCTCCCCACGAGGCATCATGCCTTCCCTCCTGTAATGCACTGTTTAGGCCTCATCAGGGTTACCGCTCTTCAAGAAGGATGCTGACAAACTGGAACAAGTTCAGAGGAGGGCAGCAAGGATGATTAAACAAGCCCTGTGATGAGAGACTGAAAGAACCGGGCACGTTTAGCCTTGAGAAAAGAAGGCTGGGGGGGGGGGTTAGACCTACAGAGAAAGGGAAGGACCTGTTCCCGATCATCTGAGCGTGTAGGACATGGCAGAATGGGCTCATGTGACAGGTAACCAGGTTTTGGTTGAATATCAAACTTTTAGAGCAGTGTGGCAATGGAACCAGTTACCTCAAGATGTCATGAGTGCTCCGACGGTGGAGGCATTGAAGAGAAATTTAGACAGCCGTCTGGCAGATATCCTTTGACTTGTATTCCTGCATTGAGCATGGGGTTGGACTGGATGGTCTTACGGGCCCCTTTCCTCTTCATTGTTCTGTTATTTCCCTTGCTCCCCAGCAGCACCTAGGCTCCAAGCGCTGCTGATCTCCCAAAAGAGATGCAGAAATGACATCTGACATCTGGAAAAGACCTGGGGCACCATTTTTCTCTTTGTGTGTTTTCTCTTTGCTGTTGCAAGCGGAGACCTACGTTCTTGGTTACATAAAACAGTACAGCCAGACCAAAGGGTAAAGGTAACTGGGAACTTGCTCTATAGAGTACTTGGCTTTCTTACGTTAATATCTGATTTGGAAAAAAGAGGGGCAAAGGCCACTATGTTGCTGCTCCCAGACTTTGGAACTCCCTTCCACAGG